GTGGACACAAGCTGTTTCTTGGTGCCAGAAAAAAAATTTCAGTGCACCGCACACTGCTGTGGCGGACCTCGCTCCTGGGCCCTGCGTCGCAGCTGGGGGGCGGTCAGCAAGGCATAAAATGCAAATCCTTCGAAAGAGAGCGACAACAGAAACCCGCAGACGAAACCGCGACGAAATCAAGGAAATCCCACATCCGTGGGCAACACGCGAAGAAAACCAGCAACACAGAAAAAAATCAGCGGGGGGCCGTGCTGAGCTGGCTAGCAAGTAGCCAGAGACGAGGGGTTCTGCAGCCGGAAAAAATGCGTGATCAAAAAGGAGCAAACTTGCTCACCCAAGCTGAGCTCGAGCTTGATGTTTCAGAAGGGCATTATTCTTTGGGGGACTCAAGGCTCATTGTTCACTTGTCTGCGTGGAACTATTCATGAGAGCATGCTCACCAACATTTTGTACATCACTGACCCAAATCATTTGCATTTTCCGCTTTTGTTTGGTGTGTTGGCCTGTTGGTGTTCTGGTTTCTTTGATGTGTTGGTCGAGGGGCCCAGCCACACTGCAATCATGAGCCGGCCAATGACCACACGACAGCATGTGAAACGAAGGCTTTGGTCAAATCAAGTGAATCCAGTCATTGGTCGAATGTCGCCGCAAGCCTGGCTGCACAGCCTTAAGCGTGAGAGCCCGTTGCGCGAACAAGTGAGCCTGCCCTGAGCTGTCAGCCGCCGGCAGGCAGCCTCCTCGCCTTCACGGGAGGCAATGCAGCTGATGAATGCTGATGTTGTGATCTCCTTGCCGTGATTTTTGTTTTCCGAATTTGGGTTCCAGCCTTCCGGCGGGCAGGTTGTGTTGGATTTCGATTTCCCGCAATGCCCTGCAGAGGGTTACAGCTGGTTCTCCTGGAAGCCTGGTAAGCAAGCTCTGCACCGCTTCGAAAACAATCCCCAAGAGCCATGTGTGGTTTCTCGCATTCACCGCTCACCCCTCGCTCGAAACAACCTCCTTCCCTCCTCTCCTGGAAGCCTGGTCAGCAAGCTCTGCAACACGTTGAATAAATCCCTCCGCCAAGGAGTGAATGACCGACTAGCGACATTTCGTGCTCGTTGAGGCGCGTAATACACAGACACCAGCTGTGACACCGAAACATTTTTAGACACATTTTCAATTGAGGGAGCGCATGCCATCGCGTACGTACACATATTTGCACACCTCCGTCGCCCAGAGCGCTCTGCGGTCGAGTCGCTGCACATGAGCCGCCCGCGAAAAAACAGGTCAAGTCTCCCGCCACGTTTTTTCTAAAGCAACAGTTGCCAGCGGTCAACCTTTTGGACAATAGCGATTTTGATGAGCAGCGAGAGAGAGAGAGACGTGTCTGGTAACTACCGTGGGTCACGGTCAGAGGTGTCAACTATCTTGCACATGTCTGGTTCGCAATCATCACAAACAACCAAAGGAACAAGGTAACACCAGAACAGAACATCAATGTTTCGGAACCATGCAGGTTGTGCTAAATGCATCTGGTCTACAAATATGTACAAACACAATTGCATGGAATCTTTCACATCAATATGAAAAACGATGGCAACTCAAATCTCGCACGCATCACTAGCAATGCATCTCAGCAGAATATTGGATGTTGTCGATGATGTCACGGGCACTATTGACATCCGGGCTTGTTGAAAACAAGGTGTGCAATGACATTGAGAGAACTTGGTGATTCGGCGAGTGATCACGCAGACGCCACAGGAGGCGCGGAAAAAATAGATTGGCCGCTGAGCCGGTGAAAATCTATTCAAAAATTTGTTTACAAACCGTGGGCTGGAAAACGCTTATGCGCGTTTCCGTTGGGCGGCCTTACGCCTATTTCACGCGGTGCTCCTTAAGAGAAATGATGAGAAAAGATATGTATGGCTGCATTTTACAGCCAAACGGTCATCCATGAAAATCGAAAATGGCGAATGAGCACACTTGACAGCTGTTGTCAGGTCACCGACAACTCGCCAACATCCCAAATTTGAAGCGCATGGTTGGAATGTGGCGCTTCTTGATGGCGCCTTAGATGTCAAGAGAAAAGGACGGGAGAGGCATAAGGATCAT